TGAAGATAGCATAAAGAAGATATTCAAAGTGTAGTCAGTGAGAACCAAGGGGATTTGACAGTGCCGCAGGAAATAGACAATTTATTATCAGCAACACGGCCTAGGTAGTGGATTATCTATAAAACTTTCATGGTTCTCCCTCAGTGGCAAGCAGCCATAAAACTTCCCAAATGAGGGACTTGTTAATTTACTTGTTAAAGCAAATTAAAAATTTATAAGCGCTTTTAGGTAAATGAGATCCTCTTTCATTGTTGCCCTAGTGGGATTCTCTTTGCCAGATCCTGAGAGGACAGGTTAGCTGTTCTGAAAGCCGCAGAAGAACAATAAAAGCTGTTAAAGTGTTCCAGGTTTATTACCGCTGAGCGCCGCAGCTGCTGTTGTGCGTAACTAAGGGAAACCAGGAGCTGATGGCTACAGAATCCCACTGAGGCTAGTACAGAAAACTGAGCCTGGCTCTTTCTCCATCTTTTTTTTTTCTATGAGATGAAGGATGGGGGTTGGGGGTGGAGTTGCTGGGGCAGGCTGGTTGTGGGCTTGGCTCTGTTTTAAAAGACCTTTGTGGTTAGAAATGTTAGCAGGCCTACTTTTGTGCTTGATTGCACTGAATCTGTAGTGCAGCCCTGGAGAATAGGTCAATACACTTGTAAAATTCCACTATGGCAATGGTGAGCACTTCTCAGTAAGTGAGAAAATAATTGACTTCGCATGTTCAAGACAATGTTTTTAATAGCTGTTTTTAGTGTCCTTTTAAGGGAAACAGTAAATTAGATATCATTTTTCACTCTGAACTGGGGATGTATTGTATATGCTTTGTATATTTTTTGTTCTATTAACCCCTTTACTGCCACTAACAATAATACTGATCTGAAAACATTTCATTCATTCATTTTCTACCGCTTAGTCCCTGAACGGGGTAAAACATTTCATATTTGCCTTTTTTTAATGAAATCCTTTTGAGCTTTTTGCACTGCAGCACTGGCATCTTGTACTTCCGTTGACTGCTCAAGATAGGTATTTGTGAACTATAGAAGATGTTCAAGAGCAACTTTTGTATTTTATGTGGTGGCTCCAATAATGCTCCTCTGAGGCCATTTGGAAAGATGTTTGTTTATTTTGATCTGATCTGTAATGTTTACTGAGAAGGACTCAGTTTCAGAATGGCAATGAAACTGTTTAAACAAGGACAAGAACAGTGCCTTTCCTACAAGAAGTGGAGTGAAGCATCAGTAGTGGTTGAGAAGTTGGTGGGTAGTATCAACATTCCACCTCTCTGTCCCAGGATATGGGACAGGATATGGGACAGAGAGTGATCCACTAAACTAGTCAGTAGTTTAGGCAAACCTAGAGAGATTCAGCAAGCACAGGCATATCACATCCGAGTACCTAGATTGTAATCAGGAGGTTGGGAAGCAAATAGAGCAGATGGACAAAACACAAAGGCTAAATCCAGGTCCAGTCACAAGGAAGGTAAACCAAAAAGGCAGGTAAGTTCATAATCCAAAGAACAAAGCAAGATCTAATCAACCTAACAATCTAGTCTAAAATAATATAAATAGATTAGGATCTTACAGCAAAGAGACATGTTGAAAAGCAGGGTTCTTTAGCTGTTTCTCATCTAAAGTAGATTAGGACTAATTGAATTTCAAGCTCAGTGTGTATGAGTGAATATACTGTACAATAGGTTGTATGAGACGAAACTATCTTCGGCTAAGGCCAGTCAGGAAATGGTGATCTTCTAACACACTATCAAAAAATCCATTCAATGGTAGCCCCTCAGTGTGAAAGTCACATGAAAGTCTTAACTGTGAAATGATTTGAAAGATCTGTCAGATTGTTTGTCCAGTGGTATTGTCTCTGCACAGATTAGTTCTGTCATGCAGAACATGCTGTCTCAAAATCTAGTGCTCAATCATATTTTTGAGTTTACAGTTTAATATTTTGAAACTGACCTATGGTAAAAAGACCAAATATAAAGAGGTTTCACTTTAAAATTTCTTGACTTGAACTTTATTTAAATACTGACTAGTAACAGTGGTAGCATACTAACAAACAGTAGAGATTCAATGAGTAGGGTTCAAAGTGTTTGCTTCACCTCCACAGACACTAAAAGTGTTCTGGTAACTGTTTGAATAGTTTCTAGTAACTGAACCACAACACTCTATGTTTTTTAAAGGAATAATTTATAACAAATGTGAAACGATTTTGCATACTTGTGGGCTCAACTGTTACATGCTGAGGTTTCGGCTGCTCTTCCAAAGCATCATGCTGATTGAAAACAGTTGCTGATTCTCTACTTCAGTAAATTTGGACTGGTAAGAAAGATGAGGAAAAAAAAACTTTATCCCCTAACACAGAACAGATTGCAGGCAAACAAGACCTCACTGTGTGGAAATTAATGTCAGATGCACTTACCAGTAGTTTAAATGTTTCATTAGATGTTAATGTCTCGCTGTGTCTTTAATTGTTGTGAAATTAGCCTCTGGAATATTAAAACCATCTGTTTGTTATCTTCCTGCAGGGCCAGTTCTTACGCAGGCTCCACAGATACAGTAAGGTCATTAAATAAGTGCATTCGTATGCCTCAACCTGCATCTTAATTAATGTCTATGTTACATCGAAACTGGACATGAGTCTGGGGCATTTGCGTGCACACACACACACACACACACACACACACACACACACACACACACACACACACACACACACACCTTATCTCTGCCTTAGATCTCTGTTGAATACAGGGAGATGCACTAGTATTCAATACTACAATAGGAGATAAACATGAAGCTAAGTTTGAAAGGCAATAAAAATCTAGAGAATGACTCAGACTCTTTAACAAGTGGGAGTGATCAGATCAGTGCCATTAGCAGAGGTTACAGAGACTGCCCCAGCACCCACACACATGGGCTTCTCATTTAGATTTATTATCCAACAGCAGACCATTAAATTTCAGCTTCACTTTTTGATGATACTGACCACTAGCGTTCCCTCCGTCTCTCTAAGACGTCTATTAATCACATCATAAAAAGAAATGAATCCATCATCTGAACCTCAGAAAGTGTAGAGAGGATGAAAAACACCCCACAATTCTCTGAAGTAATTTAAGGGAGCTCAGGGGTAAATTAAAGGGAACAAGCTGAGGGATACATTTTCAAATAGCTGTGTAATCAGGTCTCGAGCTATGTAATAGCCCTGAAAGATGAGCCACTCTTTATTGGAACGTCTTTATTAGACATGTTCTTCAGACATTACACAGTTAAATTTGTGGGCGATGTCTGATTTCATGGAGTATTTTGCCATTGGTAAGCCAGAATACAGACTCTGTGATTATGTGGTTTCACTGCTGCAGTCAGTTTGATACCACGTTGCTTAATAAAAGACAAATCTTTATATCTCCCCCACATTTGCTTGATTATATTCTTTGTAGGTTTACCATATTTGAGTTTGAGTCTGGGCTGTGAAAATCTGATGCAAGAGAGAGCAGCAGCTTCCAGTAAGGTCTTTGTATTTTTGTGTGCACATTCATAAATGAGTATCCTGGCGTACACAGTCCGGCGTTGTCAGCAGGGACCCTGGCAGGTTAATAAATATTATAGGTGAACATGTTTTGATGAAGGAGCTGCAGACCGAGGCGTAAACAGCATCCCGCGCTCCTTCTACAAGGATCAGTTCACATGCCAGGATGGATGAGATATTATTCCCCTTTTCTGTCTAAAAATATGTAAACTCCCTTCGGACAAACTTGCATTTACAAGAAAGGGAGGAAATGTACCCAGGTTTTTGTGGGAATAGAATGTGTTTGTGGTAATTAGTGGCATCACAGCACAGGGCACTTGTCTTCATGTGTTTGTGCACATGCCACATTGGTTCTTATGTGTTCTCCCCTACCTTCTCTCAGCTTTGTCTGACCACATAGGCGCAATACATTCGTGCGCATGTACACACACTGTCATATGTGCACACTCACAGGCTCATCAGGCATTCCCAGTGCTTGGACTCCCTTATCGTGTTCAGCACTCTGGTGGATCCACTCGCCTTCCACCTATCATGCAGTTCTCACAAGGAAGAGTGTTTGTCTCACACCACTAATGGCTACGGAAAAGGAACATTTATATTTTAATTATCTGCTCAGCTCTCCTGGTATCTCCCTACTTTGTGCCCTTTCATCATATTAAATGATGGCTGATACCTGAAAGGTGAATATTAAGTGAGAAGTAGAAAAAACACATGCTGTCACTCTGTCCCTTCTCTCCTGAGCAGCAGAAAAAGGGAAAAGGATAGTGCCACAGCATTTTAGTCCAAGGTCTTTACATGTACAGTGCCACACTCTGCTCTCCCTATTAAGTGTCAGAGCAGCCATTTGCTGCACTGTCCCATAAAGCCAGATTTGTATGTGCTGTAAAATGAAACCTGCAGCATTTGTCTGATTTGGAAGAAGCAGCTTGGGAGTTTCAGAGAACATCAAATGCAGACTTGAACAGGGAATGCACACCCTGCCTCCTTTCACTCAGCATCACACTCGTCAGTGTCTTTTGTTGTTCTCCAGATTTTGAAGGGCCTCAGATGCTCACAGATTGGCACATCCTCTTTATTCTTGTCATTTTGCTGCATCTCAGTGTCTAGAGGATGACACTTGCTGAGCTCCTGCTGCCTCAGCATGTGGTGTCTGCTTGGAAAGGATAGTGGCTCCATTTGAAGGTTCTGGAGGGGTCTTTGTCCCTGTTCTCTATTTCGTGGGCTGAGAGGAGTTTCATACTGTGAGATCAGATGGCGTCTATCATTGGCAAGCAGAATGATGGGCGCTGAATAGGCTCAGAAACATGACAGATTTACACAGACAGCACTGTAGCTCCTGCCAGTTCTCACATATTCATGAACCAATTTCTGTGGGATGCCTTCCCTAGCCAGTGTTATTCGTGTATAGCTCTGAACTGCTGTGTTAACAGTTTTGCTTCACATTGCTAACTCTTGGTCTCAATGTGTGTTGTGTTTTGTAGTTGAAACCAGGGCAGAACAACTGTAAGGAAAGTGACAGCGAGAGTGTAAGTGGAGAGTCCAAGCCTTCCTTCAGGAGCAGCTCCAGAGACAGGCTGACAGATGTGAGTACATTAGCATCTACTAAAATGTATTTTCTAACAGTTAAACATACTGTACAGTGTTGTAAGCTCTTAGGTCACTGGTTCCCATAGTAGTCCCACTGTAGTTAACAAATTTAGTTAAGTACTCCTTAGTGGGAAAAGTTCTCTGGCTGGTACAAATGTGAGAGTTTGTATTGCTTTGAGACTGACCAAAATATGTACATTCCTCATTTTTAAACAACTTAACTGAAAGGTTAAAGGTTCACTCATTTACGAGTATGGTAATTGGCTAGAATTATTTATTACAACATTACTTATCAGCACCACTGTTATACATACTATAGTTTCATAATTCAAGAGTCATTATAGTATGTGTGTGTGGCCTTGCACCTATGTCATGTGGACAACAGGTAAGTTATTAATCAAATCAATTTTGTCAGGATTTCTTTTGGTCTTAAATCTCTAAAATTTAGTCTCAGCAGAACCCTTAGTGCTAAATCCTAACCATCCTAAATGCACCCTTGGAGTGTTTTAGGCAAGGAGTAGCCTACCATTTGTATGTTAAACAGACATGTGTGGGTGCACATGCACCCTTGACACCTCCCCATCCCTCCGATGGTTTTTATGACAGATTCAGAAAAAGACACTACTTGCTCCTGTTCCTTGTGGAGGCCCCGAACACAAGTATTACCTGCTATGTGCTCTCGCACCCTGTAACAATATTCTAAGATGTAAAGCAAGCAGACTCAAGGGACCTCGCTGCCACACACCCACCCCTGCTCTTTGATTTGCGGCGAATCTTCAACCAAGTAATCAGATATCTGGCCATAATTAAAGCTGTCAGTTGGGAAGCAAGCCTTTGAGAAAGACGCGGCCAAACCACTGAAGCAAAACTGATTCTGCATGTAGCTTTGCGATGTTTGACTGGGCATGAAATGAAATAAGTAATTTGATGTTGACAACAGAAATTGAAATGATACTTGCTGAATTCTGTCCAGTTGCACTGCGATGACTATGCAGCAGTATGCCAAGGCAATGGACGTTTGAACACATCTAATCTAAAGATGAGTAAAATGCTGAACTGTCATAGAGAATGATGAAAATATTTGATTTATTTCCTGTTGTTATAAAATACTGTGTAAATGTTCATGCTAAACATCTGAGAGGGGAGACTTAGTTTTATCCCACTGACAGAGCAGAAAACTAAAAAATATCCCTCAGTTGTTCACTTTTTACAAAATTTTGCAGTGATGCACTTTACTCCATATATGTACAGTGCCTTGCGAAAGTATTCGGCCCCCTTGAACTTTGCGACCTTTTGCCACATTTCAAGCTTCAAACATTAGCTGTACTTTAGTATTTTGTCAGCATTGTACAGTAGCTGAATAAACCTTTGTGAAGTTAGGCCTACATTGCACTACCTGCAGTAATTTTTACAGTGCCTTGCGAAAGTATTCGGCCCCCTTGAACTTTGCGACCTTTTGCCACATTTCAGGCTTCAAACATAAAGATATAAAACTGTAATTTTTTGTGAAGAATCAACAACAAGTGGGACACAATCATGAAGTGGAATGAAATTTATTGGATATTTCAAACTTTTTTAACAAATAAAAAACTGAATAATTGGGCGTGCAAAATTATTCAGCCCCTTTACTTTCAGTGCAGCAAACTCTCTCCAGAAGTTCAGTGAGGATCTCTGAATGATCCAATGTTGACCTAAATGACTAATGATGATAAATAGAATCCACCTGTGTGTAATCAAGTCTCCGTATAAATGCACCTGCACTGTGATAGTCTCAGAGGTCTGTTTAAAGCGCAGAGAGCATCATGAAGAACAAGGAACACACCAGGCAGGTCCGAGATACTGTTGTGGAGAAGTTTAAAGCCGGATTTGGATACAAAAAGATTTCCCAAGCTTTAAACATCCCAAGGAGCACTGTGCAAGCGATAATATTGAAATGGAAGGAGTATCAGACCACTGCAAATCTACCAAGACCTGGCCGTCCCTCTAAACTTTCAGCTCATACAAGGAGAAGACTGATCAGAGATGCAGCCAAGAGGCCCATGATCACTCTGGATGAACTGCAGAGATCTACAGCTGAGGTGGGAGACTCTGTCCATAGGACAACAATCAGTCGTATACTGCACAAATCTGGCCTTTATGGAAGAGTGGCAAGAAGAAAGCCATTTCTTAAAGATATCCATAAAAAGTGTCGTTTAAAGTTTGCCACAAGCCACCTGGGAGACACACCAAACATGTGGAAGAAGGTGCTCTGGTCAGATGAAACCAAAATCGAACTTTTTGGCAACAATGCAAAACGTTATGTTTGGCGTAAAAGCAACACAGCTCATCACCCTGAACACACCATCCCCACTGTCAAACATGGTGGTGGCAGCATCATGGTTTGGGCCTGCTTTTCTTCAGCAGGGACAGGGAAGATGGTTAAAATTGATGGGAAGATGGATGGAGCCAAATACAGGACCATTCTGGAAGGAAACCTGATGGAGTCTGCAAAAGACCTGAGACTGGGATGGAGATTTGTCTTCCAACAAGACAATGATTCAAAACATAAAGCAAAATCTACAATGGAATGGTTCACAAATAAACATATCTAGGTGTTAGAATGGCCAAGTCAAAGTCCAGACCTGAATCCAATCGAGAATCTGTGGAAAGAACTGACAACTGCTGTTCACAAACGCTCTCCATCCAACCTCACTGAGCTCGAGCTGTTTTGCAAGGAGGCATGGGCAAAAATTTCAGTCTCTCGATGTGCAAAACTGATAGAGACATACCCCAAGTGACTTACAGCTGTAATCGCAGCAAAAGGTGGCGCTACAACGTATTAACTTAAGGGGGTTGAATAATTTTGCACGCCCAATTTTTCAGTTTTTTTATTTGTTAAAAAAGTTTGAAATATCCAATAAATTTCGTTCCACTTCATGATTGTGTCCCACTTGTTGTTGATTCTTCACAAAAAATTACAGTTTTATATCTTTATGTTTGAAGCCTGAAATGTGGCAAAAGGTCGCAAAGTTCAAGGGGGCCGAATACTTTCGCAAGGCACTGTATATGTGTGTGTATATATACACTGTATGTATATATAGCTTAAAAAGACAAGCAAGAATCCAATAAAAATACTTCATTTACAGGTATTCAAATAAAATTTGGAGAAGCCTCTGCTTTATGTAATTTGTTTAATCACTGTGAAATTTCATAATCCTTTGCCCTAATTAGATACAGTAGTTTGACCTAGCCGCAGTGGCCAACCATCTGCCTTCATTTAGAACACAATACTGTGATGATGAGCACTTTGAGTCCTTATATAACAATGAAATAGTTTCATCAGTAGGTCATGTTAATGTTCAGTCACTTCATGCACCTATAAAACACTACCATGTTGCTTCCAGTAAACTTATTCTGTTTGAACAATGTAAATACATATAAATTACAGTACTATTTGAATAATTGTATTGATTTGTCTCAAATACTAAATTATATTTCAAATTCAGTTAGAGCAGAAACCCTATACTTTCCTGACTGGGTGGTACATGCTTAGGAAGCATGCACCACACTCTCTATAATCACTTCCACCTGAGCTGTCATTTCAGCCGCTCAGTTCACTCTGGAGGATAGGAGGAGCAGCAGTCCTGGGTTGCCCCACTTCATATGATCAAGACACCCCACAGGAGACTGAGCATGTCTCCACAAGAGCTGCTGAAAGCTGGGCAGCATGAAGACAGACTTTTAGACTCCAGTGTCACTTTAGATGGTCACGCTGCATCAGGCTTCATCTTTGGTCCCCACTGGTTTCTGAACAAGTCCCCTCCAGCCTCGCTGTAAAAACTCACTTCACATGTTGCAAGTAGTGTAAATCCAAGCTCTTGTAGCAGAGCTCTGTTCCCCAGCATGTAAGAAGGAAAAGAAAATGGAGAGAATATAAAAAGAACAAAAACAGTTTTGTTTTCCATCGAGATTCTTTGGGTTTTGTTTTTTTATTATTATAAATCCAGTTAATATGCTGTGAAATTCTATTGCTACGGTTGATGGTAGGTGTGGAAGCGATGCTCTGCAATCACCATCCATGTTCTTGTTCTGCTGAAATGTTAAAACTGTTTTGGGTGTTACAGTACAACTGGACTGCTCATGCAGTTCAGATGCTCGCTCACAAACTGCAAAAATAAAGAGAAGGCATCTAAGTCACTTGTTAGTACCAGGGAGCAGTGGGAGACAGGAGCAAGCTTTGACCTGAACTGTTCATTAAACCCACAGTTCGCTAATGGTATTTGCTGTAGCACTCCCCTCCCCGCACGGAGCAACTATGCTTCGATGAAGCACATGAACTGAGTTTGCTGACCTGGCACTGGCTGACATGGGGATAGAGGCCAGAGGAGGTCAAGCCTGGCAGCCTCCTCTCTCCCGCTCTCCTTCCCTCCTCACTCCAGCTTGCCAGCTCATTAAGGCCTACAAATGGCACATCAGCTCGGCTGTGCGGCTTTGCCTCAACCCCAAACCCCAGCTAAATTGGCAGGCTTAGCTGCATTTGCTCTGAAGCACTGGGTTCCCTTTTGGGTTTGTTTGAAGCCGACATGGCAGCCACCCCTTACATCCCCCATCACACTCCACCCCTTCAGTCTGGGTGGCAGGCATTCAGGCAGGCAGCAGTCCTGAGCAGAGGGAGTCTGCTGGATCAGGGAGGGCAGGGAGCTTGGGATGAATCACTCCCGTTTAGTCTCTGCGGCAAGGGGTGAAATGCCATCATTACCCGGCTGCCTATCAAATAAATTGGCAATTACGGGCCTGGGATTGCGAGTAAACAGCATGTTACTGCCTTTTTCCACCCAAGGCGCTTGATGAGAGGCGGGTGCAGTAGAGAGAAGCTCCAGAGCCTGGGTCAGAGCTTGCCGTCACTGTTAGCCAGCCAGATGAGAGGCACAAGTGGCAGACTATAATGAATGCACCCCTATATTTCAGTGGCCATTTTTATAGTAAGCCAAAGCATCCAGTTGTGTCCAGCTTTAGC